AAACAAAAGATAAATAAAAATAAACAAACAAATAACACCAAAAAACTACTATAAACTCAAATTCTGTTAAACAATTTTGTCTTTTTCAAAACTAATATCAGGATTTTCTAAATGTTTGCTCCCTAAATTCCTTTGTAATGTGTCTATTATGTCAAAACTTTCCTTAATGTTTCTGAAATGTCATAAATTGTCTCTCTTGTTTGTACTTCTGACATTCCAATTTGTTTCTTCTGAAACATTTTGCCATAAAAAAGGTTTGAATTTCTTTTTTAAAAATCGGGTCTTTTATTTTGAAAGAGTTACTGTCAATAGGAAGTTTTGTGGCACGTTCACCTGACAGGTGTGGTGACGTCATTGAGGTCATGGAAAAAAAATGCGGATCCTTCAGGGCGTCTGTGACTGAAGCTTTTCCTGCTGGAAAACGATCGATCTTTGTAAGTAAACCTTCAGTTTATTTATGTTTTATCACGATTGATTAAAAATATGACCTAATTTTATGGCTGACAATAAGAAGATAAAGTCTGTGTTGTTTAAACCATATGAGAAAACAGCTGGTTTCCCACAATCACAGCAAATTACATAAATGTCACATTTAGGATTTAAATCTATTTTCACAAACTCAGTAATCTGAAGTTTAATGAAATAATCTTGTAAATAAGAAAATAAAAGGTGTCCTGAAGTATTTACCCCACTTGAATAACTAGAAATATTCACCCAATACACAATTTTATTTAGTATTAACCGAGAATGTAGATTTCTATTTTAWCAATAGTCATAATATTTCAAAGTAAACAAGAAGTAAGGTGACTGCCAGCAGAAGTGTTTAAACAAAGCAAACACACTCACATCCTGCATTTATCACACTGAAACGTTTGTTCTTGTTTCTATCTCTATAACTTCTGTCAACTTAGGTCCACAGAGCTCAAACTGACGAGTTTCTCTTTTTCTGCATCCCTGAGTTAAAAATACAGAGAGCTGTTAATGCAAAATATTCTGCAGAGTTTTCACATGTTAGTCCCACTGAGAGGTTGTACAGTTCCCTTTTAAGCTAAAGGAGTTTTACTTCTGCATTTTTCAAGAGCTACTTCCTGATTTTTCCACCAGCATGTATGTTGGCGTGTTTCAGTAGCTGCTAGAGAAGACTCGGTTCAGGTTGAGGGTTGTTTTTAYATGAAGACTTGATTGTTTTCAGTGCTTTAAATGAACATAGTTTGAGTCTGGATTCAGTCTGAGCGATGGCTGCTTGTCCCTGACGATGATGATGTGAAGTCTGGATGACCTTTGGACTGGAGGAAACTCAGGCTGCAGCTCTTGAAAGACAAACGAGAAGTCCTAAAGTCATATCCTGACACGTAGGTAGGCCTGTATTTTGGCTTTGTGGGGTTTTGTCTAAAGGCCTAAAGAATTACTATCTTACCTGCAGTGGATGGTTTTTGAATTGGCTCATTTTGCAGGACTGGTGAGCTAAAGGCTAATCTGAACACAGATAAGTCTGAAGAGGATTGTTGCGGTCTTAAAACAACTTACTCATAAAATTTTTTTTATAGAAGTTCAGGCAAATGCTTTTATTTAAACCTTATTTTAACCAGGGGTGGGTGGGGTTGGGGTCAAATTCAGTCTCACAAGGTGGCCAAAATTTGAGGCAAGGGACAATATTTGTTG